CCATGAAAGCGGCTCGAATATGAGTAGTGAGTGCGTGTGTGTAGTAAGAAGAAATACTTTAAATAAATGTTGTTTTGTTTCCAAGACTTGAACTTTTCTGTAATAAAATTCATGTAGTAGAAACAAGTCGAGTTTCAAATATTAGAATCAAGAAATATTTTATTGTGTATCTGTCCGTTCTTGTATCCAAAGAGCACATGGAGGGGAAACCGATGAATAAATGATTACACCAGTGACAGCAAATCTGCTACGAGTGTAGTAAAATAAAGAAAATGTTTTCTTTTCTTTCCTTTCTCATAATCTTTGAGTGTCTACCTCAACGAAACGTTGTGCACATGCGTTCTTCGACGTAAAGTGATGATGACTGTCTTTTGCCAGCATAAACTGCAAACTTATTCTGATAAACAATAAGTAAAATCCTTGTCATCCGTAATGAAAAAGTATCATACAGTCTGCATCTTTCGTTTCCTATGCCTGAGCGATGTTACCACGTAGCCCCCCTCTCCCGGAATACAAGGACATGACCTTCTATTATGATTAGGTACATCGCACGTTTTTTGGTGAAAAACTGCCATTTATTTCTGTCTTTCGCAGCCTATCATAGCTTCATTTCCTTTCCGTTGCGTGGATTTCAGTACCGAACCATCAAATCAGTCCATATCCTTTATTTTACCACGCATATACTGCGTGCAAAAACAGTTACTCACTCTCCTAGAGCGTTCTTATTAACCGATGTGAATCGCATTCCCATTTTCTTTCTCCGTCCAACTGATGAAGTATTGAAAAGACTTTTGTACAGAGAATAATCCAATCATCTTTTCATCTTTCAAGTTTTTGTTAATTCTGTTTTCATTCCGCTTCTTGTCATTTTCTTCTTTATTAACCTTTTAATTGTTTGTTTATTTTGATGTGACAACGTCCTCGAACAATGTAAGAAAGTATGTCGAATGATAGTGATCCATCAAAACAACATTTTATGGAATGTCCGTATTATCAGCCAGAAACGTCTCCTGTTTCGTCACCAGAGTCAACGTCTCCTGTTTCATCACCTGAGTCAATTATTATTTTATCTAACGATGCTATGCACAAGCAACAGCGGTTTGAAGCCCAACAAGTTATACAGCTACATGAACTACCGACGACTTCTATCAAAAGATCGTCTACATCAGATACTCAGCGAAGTAACAATAACGCTCCTGATATACCATCATGCGATGCATTATCAGATCGCAAACGTAAGCACAGAAATGTTGAATATGCATTAGGACTTCAACCACCTACCGTTATCGAACCTCCACTAGGAGCTCGGACACCAGTCGTCGTCTCGCAGCAAGACCGGGTAGGACTTCAAGAAAAAGGCCCAGTGTACACGGTTCCTCAAGCGAAATCAACAATTAATTTTAACATTGTAGAGTTCAATAATGACGATTTTTTTACTAGCTCGGTTAAGAAACCGAAGAATAACACGACAAAAAAGAAAACACCCACACAATATAACCCTGATGATATCAAGAAGCAACAACCGCTTGAAGCCCAACAACTTATACAGCTGCTTCAATTGCCGACGGTTTCTATCAAAAGATCGCCCATGTCATACGCTCAGCGATCTTACAATAACCTTCATGATACCCGATCATGCGATGTATTATCAAATTCCAAACATGATCGCAAAAACGTTGACCGTGCATTAAGGCTTCAACTACCTGTCGTTACCGAACCTACATCAGGAGCTCGTCCACCAGTCATTGTCACGCTTCAAGACAGGGTAAGGACTCAAGATACTGACATGATATACGGGGTTCCTCAATCCAAATCAACGATTACGTTTCAAGACCCAGTAAGACATCAAGAACAAGACCCGCTATACGCCTTCTTTCAATCGGACCCAACAATTACTTCCACTACGCCTGATATCGATAATGAGGTTTTGAATTGGAATGAATTCGAGATTCTACTATCAAATACCACCCCCGAAATATCAGCACAATCAATGCTAGCGTCGAAGGCTAGTAAGTCGGTTAATCGATCGAAGAATAGACCGAGAACAAAAAATCCACCCATTCGATACAACACTGATGGTATCCACAAGCAACAGCGGCTTGAAGCCCAACAAGTTATACAGCTGCTTGAGCTACCGACGACTTGTATTGAAAGATCGGGTGAATCAGAAGATAAACTAACTGACAATAACCTTTCTGATACCCGATCAAACGATGTATTATCAGATTGCAAAAGAAAGGGAAGAAATTTTGAACGTGTATTAGGCCCACAACCACCCACCATTGCCGAACCTTCATTTGATGCTCGCACACCAGTCGTTATCTCGTTTCAATACCCGCTAGGACCTGAAGACACACACGCGATATGCGAGGTTCCTCAATCGAAGTCCGGAATTACTTTTACTATTCCTGATTTTTATAATGACTGCTTTAACTGGGCTGAGATCGACGATATACTATCAGCTACCATCCGCGGCGTATCAGACCACAAGCAACAACTGCTTGAGGCTCAAAAAGTTATACAGCCACCTGAATTACCGACCATTTCTATCGAAAGATCCTACACAACAGATAATAAACGATTTGACGGTGACGTTCCTGATACCCGATCATGCGATGTATTATCGGATTGCACAGATGAGCGCATAAATCTTGGAAGTGCATTAGGATCTCAAGCAACCCGTGTTGTCGAACCTCCGTTAAGAACCCCCACACCAGTCGTTATCTCGCTTCAATACCCGGTAAGACCTGAAGACATTTACCCAATATACGGGGTTCCTCAAGCCGAATCAACAATCAGTTCCACTATTTTTGATTTTGGTAATAACGATTTGAATTGGGATAAGATAGACCATATACTACCAGGTACCGTCCCCGAAGTATGGGCACAATCGATGCTTACGTCGAAGGTGAGTAAGTCGGTAAAGAAATCGGGTAATTCATCGGTAAAAAAAAAAGCACGCATTCAATGCAACCTTGGTGATATCCAGAAACAACAACGGCTTGAAGCCCAGGAAGTTACACAGCCGCCTGAATTACCAACGACTTCTATCGAAAGATCGTCTCCCTCAAATAATAATAAACGAGCTGACAATAACGTTCCTGATACCCCATCATGCGCTGTGTTATCACATTCCGACGATGAGCGTATAAATATTGAACGTGCATTAGGACCTCAAGCACTCCGTGTTGCCGAACCTCTGTTAGAAACCCCCACACCAGTCGTTGTGCCACTTCAATACCCGGTAAGATCTGAAGACACTTACCCGATATACCGGGTTCCTCAACCCGAATCAACAATCAGTTTCACTACTCCTGGTTTTGGGAAGAACGATTTCAATTGGGATGAGATAGACCATATACTGTCAACTACGATCCCCGAAGTATGGGCACAATCGGTGCTTACGTCGGAGGTTAGTGAGTCGGTAAGAAAATCAAATAATACATCGATGAAAGAAAAACCATCCAGTCGATACAACCCGGATGATATCCACAGGCAACAACGACTTGTGGCCCGAGAAATTACGGAGCCACCTGAATTACCGACCATATCTATCGGAAGATCCTGCACATCAGATGATAAACGAACTAAGCATGACGGTCTTGATACCCGATCATGCGATGTATTGTTGGATTGCAAAGATAAGCGCATAAACGATGAACGTGCATTAGGGGCTCAGCCACCTGCCGTTACTGAACTTTCATTTGGTGGTTGCCCACTGGTCGCAGTGTCGCTTCAATACCCGGAAGGACCTGAATGCACATACCCCTTATATAGGGTTCCTGAATCGAAGTCCGAAATTACTTTTACCATACCTGATTCTGGTAATGACGACGTGAATTGTGGTAAGATCCACGACATGCGATCAAGTACCATCCCCGAAGTATCAGCAGATTCGATCCTAAGATCGCTGTTGAGTAAGTCAAGAAAGGAATCGAGGAAAGAAAAACTACCCATTCGATACAACGCTGATGATATCCACAGGCAGCAACGGCTTGTAGACCAAGAAATTATGCAGCCGCCTGAATTACCTACCACTTCTATCGAAAGATCGTCTGCATCAGATGGCAAACGAACTAAGCATGACGTTCTTGATACCCGATCATGCGATGTATTGTTGGATTGCAAAGATAAGCGCATAAACGATGAACGTGCATTAGGGGCTCAGCCACCTGCCGTTACTGAACTTTCATTTGGTGGTTGCCCACTGGTCGCAGTGTCGCTTCAATACCCGGAAGGACCTGAATGCACATACCCCTTATATAGGGTTCCTGAATCGAAGTCCGAAATTACTTTTACCATACCTGATTCTGGTAATGACGACGTGAATTGTGGTAAGATCCACGACATGCGATCAAGTACCATCCCCGAAGTATCAGCAGAATCGATGCTAAGATCGCAGTTGAGTAAGTCGGGAAAGGAATCGAGGAAAGACAAACTACCCATTCGATACAACGCTGATGATATCCACAGGCAGCAACGGCTTGTAGACCAAGAAATTATGCAGCCGCCTGAATTACCTACCACTTCTATCGAAAGAGCGTCTGCATCAAGTGGTAAAGGAACTGACAATAATGTTCCTGATACCAGATCATACGATGTATTGTCAGATTGCAAAGATAAGCGCATAAATGCTGAACTTGCATTAGGGCCTCAGGTACCTCCCGTTACCGGATCTCCATTTGGTGCTCGTCCGCCAGTCGTTATCACGCTGCACGACCCGGTAAGGACTCAAGATGCGGACGCGATGTACGCGGTTCGTCAGTCGAAATCAACAATTACTTTTACTATGCCTGATATCGACGATGAAAATTTGAATTGGGATGAAGTCGAGGATATACTATCGAATGCCATCCCCGAAATATCAGCACAATGGATGCTAACATCGAAGGTTAGTAAGTCTGTTAAGAGATCAAAGAACAGATTGACGAAAAATAAAACACCTATTGGATATAATCCTGGTGATATCAACAGGCAACAGCGGCTTGAAGCCCAAGAAGTTATACAGCCACCTGAATTGCTAACGATTTGTATCGAAAGATCGTTTACGTCAGATAATAAACGAACCGAGGATGACGTTCGTGATACCCGATCATACAATGTATTATCAGACTGCGAAGACGAGCGCACAAATGTTGACCGTGCAGGTCCTCAACCTTCTGCCGTCACCGAACCTACATCAGGAGCTCGCCCACCAGTCGTTGTCACGCTTCAAGACCGGGTAAGGGCTCAAGATACCGACGCGATATACGGGGTTCCTCAATCCAAATCAACAATTACTTTTACTATTTCTGATTTTGGTAATGCCGATTTGAATTCGAATGAGAGTGACATACGATCAAGTACCATGCCCGGCGTATCAGCACAATCGATGCTAACATCAGATGTAATGAAGTCGGTAAGGAAATCCAATAGTACTTCGATAAAAGAAAAATCACGCATTCGATGCAAGCGTGATGAGATTCAGAAGCCACAACGGCTTGAAGCCGAAGAAGTTATAGAGCCACCTGAATTACCGACGAGTTCTATCGAAATATTGTCTGTATTAGATGACAAACGAACTGACAATAACGTTCCTGATACCCCATCATGCAATGTATTGTCGAATTGTAAAGATAAGCGCATAGATGTTGAACTTGCATTAGGACCTCAACCACCTCCTGTTACTGAATCCCCGTTTGGTGCTTGTCCACCAGTCTTTGTATCGCTTCAAGGTCCGGCTGGAGCTGAAGACAGATACCCGATGTTCGGAGTACCTCAATGCAAATCAACAATTACTTTTACAATGCCTGATTTTGATATTGACAATTTGAATTGGGAAGAGTTCGATGATAATAAACGATTTGACGATGACGTTCCTGATACCCGATCATGCGATGTAAGACCTGAAGACATTTACCCAATATACGGGGTTCCTCAAGCCGAATCAACAATCAGTTCCACTATTTTTGATTTTGGTAATAACGATTTGAATTGGGATACGATAGACCATATACTATCAAGTACCGTCCCCGAAGTATCGGCGCAATCGATGCTAACATCGGAGACTAGTAACTCTGTTAAGAAACTGAAGAAAAGGCCGCCAAAAAAAAAAGTACGTTTTCGGTACAACCCTCCACCATTAATGTCGATCGATCCTTCTTATGTACCTCCACTTTTTGTTCAACAACAAATACGAAAACAAGTTGAAGAATATCAAAAACAGAAACGTGTACGTCACGGCGTCTGGCTTTAACTCTCTCTCTTCAAACATTTTGATGCGATTTGTTGCTGGTGCAACGGATCAGGACCAATCTAATTGGTGTGTTGAAAATAAATCTCTTCCGCGACCGTACAGTACTGTTGAGAGTGTTACTCCGCGGAGTTTATTAATTGGTATGGACGATGAGTCCTGATACTCAACGATGATCCACATTCATTAAGCGAGAACGGATATGGTCCGGATTTTGTCCTACTGTCTATATTTAACTGTTTTTATAATTTTATAAAAACTGCATATTGTATATTAAAAATTATACATCTTTCTCTCCACATTATTATCTCTATATTTTACAACAATTTGGTTCCATTCTTTCTGCTATTTATTCTGAATAATAAAAGATATTTATTTGTATCATCTATCAATTGAGTGACAAACTCAGTCACAATTAGAAGCAACTAGTGGCATCTGTTTATTGTCAGTATCAATTTATTATCAAGAGGAATTCAAAAAGACAGCTATGACACACTACACGTCTTTCGACGAAATTCTTCTATTTCGCCAACGACACGCGGGTCGAGCGTTCACCAAGTTTTTGTACAAGAACTGCGTGACTTTATTGTATCACTTCGAGTAGACGTCTATCCCAACGACAAACACCACGTTGAAAGTGTTCCCACCTGTACCTCGAAAATCGATCTCAGCAAGCTCTCTCGACGATGGCTCGCCACCCACGACCGACGTCGACTCGCCACTCGAGACAGTCAAATCACAAACTCGAGTCACTCGCCGTAAAAGTCGTAAAATCGACTCTTTCCCAGACGACCTCGTAATCGCTTCTATGGCTGACGAAATTATCGTCGTCTCCCACAACAGCCATTTCATCTCTGAATCCAATTTCTTCTCGTTCGAACTGGAATGTGGCCACTTCTCATTCCACTCGTTCATTGCACGCCATTGTTGGCAGTAGTATTTCTCGTTCTGTTCAACAGCAAAAACTAGTTGATCAGAACAATCGAATATTTATCAAATCTCATGGCGATCTTCGCTATGAACATGCACTTGAGGCTCTTAAAAAAAGTAAATATGATCAACCACTTCAGAAGCCGTCGTCAATCCTCTGTATTCTTGGATCGACGAACATTCCTTTACATTCGTCTAAACGAACCTTGTTCAAAAGGGCATCGGTATCGAGAATCAGCGACGATTCAGAAATGCCTCGGTCAATTTATGCACGATCCCTAGTCGATTTGATAAGCCAAACGTTCTTCCAAAAATAGCCAGAACTTGCCACCGTTCTCAATGTCAACACCATTGATATCGATATGGGCGATCATCTACGAGATGGACTTCATCCTGACGAATTCGGCTCGGATCTACTCACACACTGTCTTCTCGCGAACATTCGTTGATACTAGCAAAATCGACATAGAAGAACATTTCAAGACATTCGAACTGTTCAGCTAAGTAGTAATTCTACTTCTTGTTTTCCTTCTTTCTCTGAAGATATTATACATTCAAATTCTTTACTCGTCTTGTCTCACAACATCAAATGTCAAGGATTGCACATAAATTTCAGGTTCCTGGCTATTTTCTCTATAGGTAAGACAGGATAAATGAGGAATGAAGAGGTGGAGTCGTCACTTACGTTCGCACCGATTTAAAACATCGACTTCATGCTAGTTCTCAAAAGCTGAGACTATTTGCACTTCCCTTCTATGTTCGATCGCCCCCTTGCTAGTTTTGAATTCATATAGAGTCCCTTCATCTAAATCGAAAGACTACTTTTTAGAGCTCGAGCAATTAGTTCTCTTTGACTCGGGCTCGTAGGAAAGTACTATTTAGCTGTCGATTTTAATTCCAAATTCAATAGTAGAGATCGATCTGCCCTGTTGTGCATATTCGTATTGCATTATACATTTTTTAAAATCAATACTACTCGTAATTCGTCAGTCGATAACATTTTTTACCCAGAATTATGGCATTCTCCATTGGATTCTTCCATCCATCATATCTTCTTAGCAAATTTTTCTTTTCACCACGCCATTGCCAAAAGTCCCCCTTTTTGATCCACAATTTCAAGAATTTGTGACTGGTCGCGACTGCTAGATGGTCTCTTCGAAATAGGACAAGAAAATGCTTTCTAGAGAAAGATCATGTAAAACTCTGTTCTATGCGGACTCAACAGGTCCATTTTCATATTTCTCAAACGACACCTTTAAAATCTATTGTTCGAAATATGAATGAAATAAAACCAACTTCTCATTCACTGCGCAAGCTAATGTCTGAGAAGAACGAGGCTTTTCGCCAGGCTAAGCGAACTCCTTCTTTCGTTAAAAAATTGAAATTTAAAAAACTACGCGATGAAGTAACAGCAGCTTTTCAAACAGAAAGAAAAACAAAGTAAGAGGATATTTATTCAATGACCTTTCCACCGTTTGGGCAGAAATAACAAAATGAGAAAGGAATCGTGCGGCATTCAGCCACTTTCGGAAATGCAATGAGAGGATTTTTTAGTTGAAAGATTTGCTTACAGCGTTACATCCAGAAGCAGTGGATTCGGGAGCGATGGGTCTTAGAGGTTTTTGAGCATGCTGGATCTGATGGTATTGTCAGTTTTTCGACCCCCATACTTCATAATTTCAGATTTCAGAAAGTCAATTTTTGAGTACTGAGATTTTACGGTCACTTTTTTCTTAGAACAGTCTTAGACATCGAAGTCAAACAACCATATAGATCGTGTAGGACGTACTTTCTTTTATCTAAAAATTATTGTGGAAAAATATTGTGTTATCTCAGGTTTCTGGAAATGAGTTTTTACGGAAAACCTAGAGTTTCTGGAAAACGTTTCACAGAGACCAAGCGTTCTAGATAAAACCTTCTTCGATAAAACCTTGGTTTCTTCTGCATTCGTATATTAAAAGCATGCCTTACAAACGCATAACGTAAAATGTATCTTTTTTCATTTACAGAAAAAGTTCGGTTTCGATGCTGACTAAACAGACGGGGAAGGAGTGACTTTCGGGATGACAAAAAATAGGAAATACAAATTTGTTTTCTTTTCTATGTTATGACATTGATCAGTATTCGGCACGACAAACTGCTCTTCGGAAGACACTTAGTTGATAAAAGTGTCCGGGTATGGAACACAGCTTTTAAAAAAGGCTTTATATTTCAGAAATTATTCGAAAAATATCGAATTCCGATATTGGTTTTGGAAAGTCACGAGCTGTGAAAACATGAGTATATTTTTGAGATAAATGTCTTGGTTGCCGGTCATTTTTTCTGAATCCAACTCGCCGTATCGTTTGTTCCTTTTCAGCTGGAAGAAGAGAGTAATGAAGATTCCAAGAGTGAAAAAGAGCTAGAGTGTCATGTAAAATAGAGAGTATGGACATGTATTTAGACTAAAATAGATATAAACACGATCAAAAACGTTTATTCACCGGAAAGACAGAAGAAAGTATAGGTGTCGAAAGAAGTACAGCCATAAACCTTTCGCATATAGAAAAAATGATACACCGACAGATGAGCCTCTGACGTTTGAGCCCCGACAAATGAGCCTCGACAGATAAGCCTACCGACACTTGAGCTCTTGACATTTCAGCCTCCCGATACGTGAGCCTTCGACATTTGAGCCTGTCGCAGATAGGCATTATATGACTGAGTTCTATACTATTAAGGAACAGGCTAATTGATTGATTGATTGATTAAAATATAATTAATTGATTGCTTAAAATTTTATTTAATAATTTATTTTTTAATAATGAGTTGATTAAAATTGAATTTGGCTTCCTAACGAGTTGTAAGTATATATATATATATATGCAGAGTAAGGAACACATATCACTCATTCTACTATCCTACTTTTTCTTAAAAATGTCTATTGTAAAATCTTCTAAAGATAAGGATCAACTTCTTCTTGATGGTTTTCGTTACCGTCGTGCAAATAAAAGTCAAGTTACGTGGCGTTGTGTTAAAAATAATTGTTCTGGTCGTGTAACTTTTGATGGTACACAATATATTAAATTAACTGACCATAGTCATGCACCAAATCCAGACGAAATAATAGCTGCCGAATTTAAATCAAAAATTAGTGAACGTGCGATAACATCACATGATCCACCTCGACGAATTATAAATGAAGCGTTATTAGATGTTCATAAAGATGATGGAAAAGCTATCTTGGTGGAGTTGCTTTTCGCGTTTGGACCAACAGCTTCCACGTACAAATCTTCAGAAGGATGGCATCGTGCACTTAAAGTAAGATCAAGCTCCACAGACTGTTGTCCTCAATAAGTCAGCTACTTTTATTTAGAATTCTGTTCGTATAAATCCATCTATTTATGAATCTGTTAAAGATCTTCAAGTGGAACAACATGCCAATTTAATTATGGCTCTGAAGTTAGAAGCTGGGCTTGTAAAACTGACAAAACGTGTGGCATATGAACAAATGGACGTACAGCTACAACAGTTACTTACCCCTTTTAACATAAACACAAGAAAGGAGTATTTTAAAAGAGCAAGAGCTTTGTTTAATTTTTGAAATTAAAGAAATAAAAGTCATATAATGCCTATCTGCGACAGGCTCAAATGTCGAAGGCTCACGTATCGGGAGGCTTAAATGAAAGAATGATCCACGTAAATCAGGGGTAAACATAAGCAAAACAAGTTTGTCGCCTCAGTTTTATCGAAAAGCTTGTAGATCGAGAAAACATCGCGAAACGACTCGAAAATTAGAAGAAATTTTAGCACAGTGACTTTTCGGAAACAGGTTTTCTAGGAGATCTTTGGTAAACTAGACCGTCTGCAAAGACTTTTCAATAGGATTGTGTTGCTTTTTTCTCATGGGCTGATAGTTCGGAGTATCCTCTCCAAAATGGGGGTAAAGTGAGACTTTGATTTTCCATGGTTCGGGCGTTGTATCGGATTTTCTACGAGTCCCAGGACCGGCACCCGGCAACTATTGGCAGCCTTAAAGACTGATGGACTATGGGTAATCGACCATGCTGCGTTTTGTGGCAATATTTATTTTTAGAAAAAGTTCTAAAAGTCTACCGAAAAGCCAGTTTTACGAAAATTAGGGTTTCCAGGCTGTTTTCACCTAATATTAAAAAATTCACTATTCACTCAAAAAACATCAGAACGAGTTCAAAACTTCAGAATGTAGAGTATTTAAGCTATTCTATATCCTATTCATAGGAGATCTCGAAACAAATTTTACAGAACCCTCAGGTTTTCCAAAAGGGTTTCCAGGCTGTTTTCACCTAATATTAAAAAATTCACTATTCACTCAAAAAACATCAGAACAAGCTCAAAATCTCAAGATACGATTAATGTTGTCCGCTAAACGTTATTATAAGATCAAAAAAATCGAAAAACATTTTTTTCTTTAATAGGTTTTCCAGAAACCCTTTTGGAAAACCTGAGGGTTCTGTAAAATTTGTTTCAAGAATATGTAGTTACTTTTAAAAAAATATGTTTTTATACTGACGGAATGCTCTAAATATGGAGTCTAACTATTTTTTTCCAGGCGTATATATAGATGCTGATCATGTTTTGCGCCAACACGGAGCCGATTGAAACACAGTTCTTATATTGCGTAAATGGTTGATCAGGTCGTTTTGAACATGTAGATAAAAAATTCATTGCAATAGTAGGTAAAATAGATATGGATAAGTATCCGTTCGTTGATATTAATTCATTTTTTTTTAATTTTTGTAATTCGGCATTCCAGATTGGGAGTTGTGGGGCAACCATGTACAGAGTTTCTAGATTTTACATATTATCCTATTGTTACGATACAAAATAGGAAATTAATCACCAGGAAGCAGAGAATTGGCCACGTTGGTAACTGAACAGCGCTTATTATTCCGCGATTACAATACAGACGCATGCTTTATATCCCGTTTTGAATCAGAATATAACCGAATCAGGCATGCATCGATTTA